TTGAAAATAAGTACGATAGAAAGCAGTCAGATGACGAATGATCATTCGAAGTATAGATAACAAAACACAAATAAATGTAAAATAAAGTATATATTTCCATAAATGTGATGATTCGTGTAAGCCTAGAAAAGACATGAACGAATTGAAAAATGCTTGCATCGATTGACTAGCTAAACGATAATAGCCATTCGTGGTAGTATTTTGTAGAACACTTGACTTTGAACTATACGTCGTCAGGAACGACCACGACATCGTTGTATTCGTTGCAATCCAATCAATCGTAGAGTTATTGTTGCGATCTTGTGTCAAATTGGATGCTATGCTCGTAGATAGGTGTTGTTTGTCACGTTGTAGTAGAAATGTCGGTATGGTAAAATCAGGCGGATTAAAATCGTATCTTCGTGGATTCTTTGTTCGACGTTTGTATGCTCTCGTTATCATCGATAGTGTGAAGACATATGCAACGTTGCTTGACAATAACAGCATTAGAGAATATGTCAGATAGATCGCTTTGAAATAGTTCATTTTTTTTTTCTTCTTCTTCTTCTTTTGGCTCAAATACAATCAAATCTACAAACAGAAAAGTACTGGTAGAATCGCCAAAACAAAGATGCTATATCTATAAACTAATGAATTACAATAGGAGAAGAAACAACAACAACAACAGAAAAGTGCAACTATTCGAGTTGCAAAGCCGACAGTTGAGAGACGAACAATCGTATGAGTGATGTAGAATTGATACACATGCATTTAAAATATGGTACAGGGAAAAAATTATGAAATAAGAAAAATGAAACGAGAAAAGACAGAAAAAAAAAGAAAAGCGAAATAAAAACACGTTTTTCCTGTTTTTAGTTTATGTCTATCTGTACAAATGATCATCTCTGTGCTAAAACCTGTTTTGATCAAAGTTATACAAAATATTCATGAACATTGATCTTTATGATGATGAGAGGCTGGTAAATAATCGTAAATATGTGAGTCGATCATCTATAATCATAATTATAATCCATAAAACTATGAAACAAGAGACGACACAAAGAAAACAGGATTACTTGTTGCTTTGATTTATATTCGTTCTCGATGGTCAAACTAAGACCGTCCTCATATATCCAATTGTAGTCACTGTAGTGCATGAATCGTGGATCAGCCGTTAGATGATCTAGATGGTATTTTGTTACTATTATCCATGTATTTACGATACGATGATTGTATTTTGGTCGGCATGATCAACATGGATACCAGGATAAGAAGAAAAACGAAAACTTACTTTCATTGGGAATGTTGTTTGTACTTGGCTGGTTGATGCGTGTAAGGCAGCTGTTTCGTCTTAGGAAACAGATCAATACGAATAGAACTAGAAGAATTGATAGAATAATGAGAAGATCAATAAATGAATGATGATATTGTTGGAGGAAACTATGGTTAGACATAGTTTTAGTATAGACAGACGATGAATTCGATGGAGACAATGTTGACAATAATCGAGTCTGATTTGATGCCAGAGCTGTTGTTGGAAAGGAGCAACCTTCAGCCAGTGGAGCAATGGTACAATTGACGCTTAGTGGTTTGATTTTCCTATACGCGATGAACAATTGTCCTAAATAGTCATCCACATATCTGTTGTAACGATCCGTAAAATGAGCTGGTCTATGAAGGCCATACATGTGACTCTTATTTTGAAATACATAATATGAAAAAAACATGTGTAGACGAATAAATAGTAATAATAATAATAATAATAATAATAATATACGGATGATTATGAGTAGAGTGGACGGATAGAGCCGATGAAATGATCTGAAAAGACAAAGAAGAAAATAGAATAACAACGAAGGTAGAAATGATGTGTCATCAGAGAAGAGGAGGAGGAAGAGACAAAGAAGAGACTCCTGATTGATGTAAATAGTATTTCGAAGAAAAAGAACAGAAAACAAAAAAAAAACAACAAGTCAAAGAAATTGTTCCTGTAGGATAGTTTCTCTCCTCACTAGTAGTAGTCTGTAGTATTAGTAGTAGTAAAGTGTGCTTTAAATGTGTAGATGTATTGAACACGTTCGCTAATTTTGTTACAACATTGATGAATAAGATCAATCAGAATCAATGGTATTTTATCTTGGTCAACAGCCAAATGACGTTCGAGCCATATTTTCTTTAGATGAGTTTCAAACTTTTGTTGACACTGATATTTGTCATCTTCAGCTGTAGTAAGATAGAGTCGAAATAGTTGTGCTCTTGCTTGTACGGCAATTTCTTTATATTGAAGATATAAGCGTTGTCGAAGTGTTTGATTTGCAATTGAACTAATTAAGGTCGATTCGGCTATAGGTGAAAACTCGAATGATTGTTTTGATGAATTATAGAAATTGATTTGTTGTTCAAGTAATTTGAACACTTCTTCGGTCGTGACGAGTTCATACTTATATTGACACAAATCTTCCAAGAGTTGTTTCTAAAAGACAAGATAAGACACAATGCAACACATCAGCGATGAAATCAAAAGAAGAGTCATATACCTGATATGAACTAGGATTATGTCGTAGATATTCTAATTTTATTGCTTGTATATGATAATCATAATAAATAAGTTCAATTTGATGAAACATTTTCGTACGAAATGAATACAGATTATTCATAATATATGTTTCCAATCGATCTTGTATTGTCGATGTCCAGTCTATCATCAGACTTGCTTTGATCGTTTCCAATTCAATTTCATAATGTTTCAAATGATCATTTAGTTCCTTGAGAACGTGACTAACAAATGTCAGGCAAACTTCATGTTCATTGCTGTTCGCTGGTACGATGTTCCGAATTTTTGCTGGCCATATTGAAAAATGAACCGAATATTTGTCCATTTGTGATGTAACACCTTTTAATGATCGATCAATTAATTCGCCTGTACCTGATTGTAGATATGTTGACCATAGACGGTGATAGGTTTGAATAATCATAATTTTATAGATGAATATCGCCATTTTTCGTAAGATTTTAACATAATTCATTGATTTTATTTCTCTCGTTGTTGATGTTCGTATTGGAAAAAGTACATTATAAATCATTTGTTGAAATGGTTGATGGTTTTGCATTAAAAACTCAGGCATTATATGAATATCATTATGAATATCTTTGATTGAGATGGGTGAAAGCTCCGTTGTTGTTGTTGTTGTTGTTGTTGTTGTTGTTGTTGTTGCTGCTGCTGCTGTGGTCGATGATCCATCTGACTTTGGAGAGAAAGTTTTCTCTTCTTTCGTCTACGAATAAATGAGATCGTACAAGATCATCTGACAATGACTGATTCAAACATGGTACGACTTACGTTCGAAGATGTCGATTTATCTGTCTCGTTGATATGACACGAACTATCTTGATTTTCGTCATCATTGCCATAGTCACTACATATATCAAGAAACTGTTTCAACTCAGCTGGATCAATTCGAGTTTCCGCAAAATTCATCGTATCGAAATCCATAGCTTCTTCTTCAAAAACGGTACTCAAAATGCTATCCATTGTCAGGTCATGGTACACATCTTCCAAATGAGTGGTCGATGACGACGACGACGACGATGATGATGATGATGATGATGATGATGACGATGCAAAAGTGTCGTCGTTGGAACTTCTCGTAGTTGAATTCTCATGGAAGGTATCCATATATGCTAGCCAAAATGTGTGTGTGTGTGTATCAATAGCGAAGGAAAATAAAAGAATAGGAAAGAAAAATCACTTATAGGAGGATAATCTAAAAACAGAAAACAAATGAGTGACTAAGAAAATTGAGCAAATGATGTATTATTAGAAATAGAACCACTAGTTGGTCATAATTGAAATCTCATGTACAAAGGGAGAGAAAAAGAACTGTGCAAGAAAACAACACGCTAATGTATCAATAAATACATGTACAAGAATGATGCAACAGTGAATCGATTCACATGGGTTTGATAATTGATCAGTTATTGTTTTAATATTCGACATCATTATTATTATTACTATCATCATCATTACCATCTTCAGCAGCAGCGGTGGTGGCAGTAACATCTGTCTCATTCGATTTTGTACCAGTGGTTGTTGTTTCACACTTTAACATGGGAAATATTCGATTCAATTCATCTTCACATTCAATACGTTGTTTTAATGTTTTTTGGCGACTTTCAATAATATCCATTATTAAATCTGTATTCAGTCTTGAATATTCTGTTGCTAATCGATGATTTTCGTGTGCAAGACGTACTTTGGTTTTATGATTGTCTATCACTTTCTCGTATTCATAAATTTTGTTCATTGCCTTTGTACCATGTGACATATGTTTTCGCTTAAACCGTTGTTGATTAACAGTCAATTGCCATATAGCTTCGGCGCCTGCAAGCTAAATTGTAAACAAAACAATGTAGAAAGAAAGAAAGAAGATGAGAAATGAAACGAAACGAAACAACTTACTTGTACAGGAGTTGGTTGCAATTGATAAAATTCATAGACTAAACGAATATCTTTCGCATTTAACATAAGTAGATGTCTTCTTTGTAAAAGTGTTTGAGTATATCGTTGTTGCTCTTTGCGTACAAGCATGACAACTGAAGTTGTGATCATTCGTAGATCGGTTGAATATTCCAATGTCATGGACGGTTGATGAGCGTTTTGCATAGATATAGCTAAGTTGTCTTGAATTGTTCGTAATTGTTCCTGAGTTGACTTCAATTCCTGATTGACATATAGTTGCATACGAAAAATACTTTCGTCTATATTATTGCTTTCTAGTAATCTTTTCGACATTGTAGAAAACCAATGGAATACAGTTTGAGTCATATGCGTATACGTTTGATATAATTCTAATTTTGCTTTGAAAGAAAAATATCTTGCAAGTAAACTTGCATAGTTCCGTGCAAATATCAAGAGTGTTCCATTCGTTTTTAGGTAATTTTGAATTTTACTTCGAAGAGATAGATATCCATTGAATGTAGTGAGTATTCGTTCAATCATAGCGGCATCGGATATTGTCTTAAATTCTTCTTCTAATTTGTTCATTTCGTCTGTTGCCATCGTTAATTCTATCGTTTCATCGAATTTCCTTTTTCGAATTTGTGATACGAATGGTGTCTATTAACATGAAGAAAACAAACAGCACTGAAGAGAAGAGAAGAGAAGAGAAGAGAAAAGAAAAAGGGACTCATCATCGACTAACTTACCCGTTCGAATTGTGCAGCTTCTGTTGTTACTATTGTTGTGGGCAATGAGGATACCGATGTACTTGCATCTTCTTGCTTCGACATGGTTGATAATGATAATCTCGTCGGTTTGAACGTATTCGGATACAGATTGATCTGAAAAGGCACAACCGGATAGCAAAAGAAATGAGGAGGAGGAGAAGGAGGAGGAGGAGGAAAACAAACGAGAAAAGAAACATCAACAATTTTTCTAGTAATCAATTCGTTGTCTTTGACGTGCACCATTTCAATTGAGTTTCAAGTGTGCCTCGCACTCGACATTGGAGTTCTTCGTATGTGACCTGTGTCGTACGCATGATGTGCCAACTACTTTCATGAAATTGTACGAAAAAGTTCTCGATAATCTTTTCAATATCATATAACGATACGCCGTTGAGAGCAAAAGATAATTCAATAAATAAACGTTCATTTTCGAATTCGCGTACATCAGAACAATAGAGAATGGCACGAAGTAGAGCAAACGTTAGCAATGGCGATAGTGATGATGCATAGCGTTGGTATTTTTCTTCAAATGCCTTTGAAATGTAGGGTAAGGCGTAGGGTTCGAAGGTGGAACGATGAGCGACGTGGGTATAGATTCTTGTGAATCCAGTTCGATCACCAGGTTGACGACCAAGGATAGCATCGAGAAATCGTATCTCATTTGAATCCACTGATACGGACATTTCAATGGAACTATAGGTCGCATTGGCTAGATAAGTTTTATCGAAAAATTTGTAAAATTCTTCTTTTGATTGTCGCCAAAGAAAGCATATATGATTGAGAGATCGACAATAGAATCGATGAGTGTTGCGGCCTACTCGTTGTAATAATTGACGTTGCCAAGAAAACATATAGATGTCAATCAATGTTGTCATCAACGGTGCGTCTATTGAACAGCCGAACGTCTGTCGATATAATTTGTTTTCATAAATACAATATTGATTGTCAAGTAGAAGACGAGTGAGCTGAAGAATAGTTGCCGTTGATATACCATTGATATGTGTCATCGATCCAAAATAATGAAAAAAGTGTTCCAATGATGCAATGATTAAATGAAATGGTAAACTAGAACGAAGATGACGAAGATGAATTGTAACAAAATAGGAACACGAAGGCATGCTAGTCATGTCTGCATATTCACGCCATTTGTCGATTGCATCAGAAGCGACGACAATCTGTTTATTTCGAAAGAATTTCGTTACTAACGGTTGAAGAAGAGTATTGATTAGATTTGAAATACCTTTCATTGGTTCTATATTTGAACATTGAATTATTGGTTCAAGAACCATTTGCTCCTAAATAGAAATAGATGATGATGAAAAGAAGAGTTGAATGAAAGTGTGTACGAGAGCCATGGGATAGATAGTTACATTTTCCATTTTTATGGTAAAATTTAATTGATTCACATTAAAATCGATTCGTTGGTTGTAAAACATAATGTTACCATATTGTTCATTTGTAATTAATCGACGATATAATAATTGATGTATAGTTCGAACAATTAAATTACTCATATTGTGAAGAATTTCCTTTGTATGTCGAGTATGCATATCACCAACCAATACGAAAACATCGTTGCTCGCTAAATAGCAATTGATCTGTTCATTCCATTGCTCTTCGGGACATATATACTGAGCATGTGTATATTTAATCGTTCGTTTGACGACTTTTGTTGTATTCAAATGTGTTTGACTATTGAATGACGAAACTTGTTCTTGCAGTGTTTTAGCAACGATAAATTGATCGGAAACATGCATCGTCGTCATCGTCTTCCTTTGTTTGTTTTGTTTCTGATATTGACTCTAACAATGCACCATTGGTATTTATCTACAAACGAGACATAGACAATCGATTCATTCTAGCCTTTACTTTTTTATCACTTTCTCTAAGGCAAAAAAAGACAGAGAGAGAGAGAGAGAGAGAGAGAGAGAGAGAACGTTTCTAATTGATCTTGTTCTATATTATGTTTTTGAGTATTTTAAGTAAACCATTGCAAACAATACAAAATTATTTTATAATGTACTGTCTTCATCTTCGAATCCATCATCTCCATTATCTCCATCATTATCGTCGTTGTCATCTTCTGTATCTGAATCATTGCAATCATTCATTATGTTGATAAGATGTTGAAGTCGCATTTGAGTAAGTCGCTTGACATTTTTTGCACGCGCTTCAACTAACTCAATCAATCTATTGAGCTTCATTGTCGCTTCACGAGTCGTTAAGAAATGAGTAATCAATTGGTACTTTTCTTCAACAATGCGATTTGTATAGTATTCATCCCTTTCGTTTAAGACTTTCGCTTGTAAAGCTAAAATCGTTTGCTCAATATCGTCGAGTATAGTCGCATGATTCGACGGTTCCCATGGCTGAATGAGGTCATTCACATCCCGTTGCGTCTAGATCAAGAGAAAAATGAATTCTTTTTTTTTTCTTCTTTCTTTTGAAAATCACTTCCATTATAGATAAGAATCTTACTTGAATACCGGACGACGACGATGACGACGACGACGACGACGACGACGACGACGATGGGGATGTCGTCGGTGATGTTGCAGCAGCCGACGACAACGATGCTGATAGTGAAAATGCTTTCGTTGTCGCCATGGAATGAGCTTCAACACGATTTGACTCAATATCGCATTCGGTCGTGTTATCATGTTGTTCCTTGCATGCACGATTGTTAACCATCGTAATATTCCTAGTGGACGTTGACTTTTCTATAATGTTCTCGTTCCGTAATGAATTATGCCATGCTTGAATAGTGTTGTCGTTGTTGTTCCTATTAGAATTCATCGTAATGGTCAATGTCGATCCTATTGGAAGAATGTTGTAGATGGTTTGTTGTGACAGATGTAAAACGTACTATTGAGTTCAGTTCTAGTAGTTGTGTTAACGAAAACAGGAGCAAGAGTTGAAAATGAAATAGACTGTAGTTGAGGGTCGTTGTTGCCTGCTTCTACAAAAAGATGAAACGAACTTCGTTTCACACATGGATATTGAGAAAGAGACAAAGAACAAGAACCAAATAAAAAAAGTCAATATGTCACTATAGACTCATACTATGGCGGATGAGCGAGAGAGAGAGAGAGAGAAAATAATTGTCGATAGAACGTATATAATATAATTTCAGTTTGCACCAATAGGTAGAAGAAAATTGAATTTATTTCTGTTGAGTTCTATGGGACGAATGACGGTATTGAATGGTTACTCTAACGAATGAACAGTATCTACAGTAACCGAAATTGTATGAAGGACTTTGTTGACATTCAAAGGTTATATATACACGCGCATATAATTTTGCAGCTGGATAGCAAAGAAGTCAACTGAAATGTGAGCCGTAGAGCAATATCTGATGGACCACCCTGTATAGTTAAACTATGTATTGAATCTAAAACGAAGACAAAGATAAATAATCTAAACAACAATAATGATAATGATAATGATAAATGAGGCTATGTAGATGAGAGCGAGGGAAAGAAACGAGTACGATAAATAAGGATAGATGGATGTTCATCGGAAAAGACAGAAAAACAAAACAAAGTTCCAACGGCATAGAATTGCGATTAAGTCTGTCGAACAAAACAAACAGCGCAAGCACCGCGGTGAATCCGACGTTTATTGTGGTGGTAGAATTGGTGTTGCAGCTGAAGAATGGCCATGTTCATTGGCTGGCGAATTCGGTGAACATAAATCAATAGTTTCAATTTTAGGTGAAACTAAATCAATAGTTTCCACTGTAGGCGAAACGATATCAATGACGATAGGACTTGCTGGCATTGTTCCTATCGAAACGGTCTGTGTTGAAGCGTCGGTCATCATGCCTGTCGATACCATTGTTACAGGTGTTCTTGGCATTGTACCTGTTGATGACATAGTTGGTTTCTTTGTTGTACATAAATTGACTGTTTCGTGGTCGTGTTGTTGTTGTTGTTGTTGTTCGGTGACGGCAACGGCAACAACAACAGCAGCAGCAGCAGTATCCTAAATTTAGTTATTTGGAGTTTAACAAGAAGATAGTTAAAGAGAAATGTCAATCAACTAGGTATACAAGCATGTGCATAGGTGAATATATGACTTACATCGATAAAAGCAATATTCAAGGGACCAGGTGTTTCACTTACAAGTGAAACACTTTCCGACGTACTATTATCTTGAACTACAAGTAAAATAAGAGGCATATAGTAGAGTGAGAACCTATGTATGATCAACTATTCTCTGTTTCGTGTCCATGTAATTACCCAGGGTTTGTTGGTGCGACGGTGGCGTATTCATTTGATACATTCCTTCGTTCTGAAAGAATTCTTCTATTTCTCGTAATGTTGAATTGTTATTGGATGATTGTTGTTGAGACATGGTGACGATCAATATTGAATGATGATAATGATGATGAAGATAGAATGTATTCGGATGAACAAGAAATCACTATCTAAAACAGATCATACAAGATGCATGTAGTGTTTGTTTTTCTTCTATTTAAATTCGAAGATAGAACGTAGGAAAAGTTAAATCTTGGTTGTCATGTCGTTCATGCGTTTTTGCACACGAAGACGAAAACAACACAAGAGGCTCAAAACTAACATGAAAAACGAAAACGAAAACGAAAATAGAGAATAAAGACCAAGCGAAGCTTGACTGCTACACAGATCAGATTAAGACAAATGACATCACTGCTCTGTTTGTGTGTTTGTTGTTGTTGTTGTTGTTGTTGTTGTTGTTGGCGGCCCATGAATGGCTTGAAAAATATTTTGACGTAACTGTACATAAAGACGAGAATTATAAACTGCTTCATTAAGATCCAGTCGTAGTTCGTCGATATGAAAATCGTGTAGAAACAAGGCGAGACCCGTTGGAAAGTAATCATAATGGAAACCATTGTATTCGAATGATACCTGTATATCATGACATTCATTAATAAAATCATAGAATTCTGAACAACACAGGGCAGCGCGCATTAAACACGATCGTAATAGAGTAAGGACACGCGATGTTTGATGACCATAGACATAGGGTAGTGCATACGGATGCGTTGTGATGTTATGTGCCACTGTTGTTCTCAATCGATGGCCAATATGACTCATATTGACATCAAGATAAGTAATATTGTTGTTGTTGATCGTTTTCGTCAGATGAAGATGATACCTATTGGATGCTGTATTTATCGTTTCGATAAGTTGATGAAGAGCTTCCTCCGATTTATTCCATGTGAGAAAGATTTTATCGAGACGTCTAAAATGGAAATCAAGGACAAAGAAACATAAGAATGGCATTGAAATGGTGAATCGTATATGACTGATATGGATCGTATGCACAAGGCACAAGGAACGAATAAGATCAAAAGAACAAGAAGGAGAAAACACGGATCGTATGCGAAAGGATGACAATGACAATGACAATCTTCTGATCTATCTCAAACCAATACGGCTCAACTCACCTGCCATAGATTTCTTGTTGATCGCGTAGTGTAGTGATGAGTTCTTGTTCCCAATAATACATGTAAATATTCGCTAATACACTAGTCAATGGCGATTTAACTGGACTTCCGCGTACATGTCGATATAATTTATAACCATAGACAATATATTGATTATCGAGAAACAAACGAACAAGCTCGACCAATGTCGATATGGACAGACCATCGATTTCATGACTGTCGGAAACATGTTCATGTAGAAAGCGTTCTAATAAATATAACATTTCTTCATGTGAATAGACAGTGCATAAATCATGAATATAGATCGTCGCAAATAAAGTTGTCGAACGGAGACGTTTCTCTCCAGTATATTTCATTAAAGCATGAACACAATCAGCGCCTTGCTTAAAAGTTGTCGCTAAAGTCGTTCTTCTATAGATGGGTTCGATTTGACGGCGTAAAAATTGCGACAAACGTATCGTAAGAGAATCTCTACAGCATGACATCGGATGAAATATAACATTTTCCTAGAAAATTTAGAATGGTAAGCAATATCTGAACACACACACACACACACACATATATATATATATATATATGTATGTATGTATGTATGTATGAAAGTAAAGAAAGGAAGACAACGAAAAAATTCAGAGAATGCTTACCGTATCTGTATCTGGTAGAAAATACAACGTTTGTAGACGTAATTTGGACTGGTTAGGTGTCATTAATATCCATTGATGCAATGTTATTCGGTTGCTTTGTAGAAAGTTATGCAATGCAAATATGAATTCGTTATTGATCAGCTTTAAATACTTCTTCGTGAAATAGGAATTGCTCTTAGTAAATTCCATATATAACAAATAACTATTTGTATTCGTCAGATGTTGATTGATTTGTCGTTGCATGACGTCTTTTTTACATGAAAAGTAAGCATAGGTATTGAAGCCTTTGACAAGAATACGATTTCGAGCTGCCAATTCCCTTAAGATTGTTTCAAAATATTTCTTTCGTTTGATTAAATACAGAGGACGTATTGTCATATTTGTTTTGTACGAAGAAATATCTACGAGTTTTGTATGTGTTCGACTTTCTCGTTGAGTATCCTCCTCGTCGTTGTCGTCGTTTAAACCACTACTATCTAACCATGGAATAACAATATCCACAGGTTGCTGAATCTGATCGACCATAATTGAAAAAATAGGATAAAGAGAGAGAAACCGAATCAAACGATGTGCTAAAAGAATTCAATAGTACACCAAACCGTAAAGTTCATTCATTCATCGATGAACGTCAATCTAGAATTCAAAGAAAAGAATACAATTTGATGCATGTCAATGGTCATCATATGCCTTGCTTTCTGTCTCTGTCTTGTAATCTAAGTAATTCACAAGAAGAGAAGAAAACGACAAAAAGAAGAAAAAAAACAGAAAACGATAAAAAAGAAAGGAAAACACAAGTGCCACTACGTCGCATTGATACTGAAACAGACACTAGAACAAAGAACACATCCATCAGATAGAATCGAATAAAATAAGTAAAACAAATGTTGACATGATAGAAAACATAGGAGATGATCCACAGTATACATCGATGGACTGATGTTGCTGTTGTTGCTGTTGTTGTTGTTGTTGTTCTTCTTCTTCTTCTTCTTCGTCTTCGTCTTCTTATTGAAAATTGTAGTCAATCATACTTCAAATTAAATAGATCATTAGATCTATAGCAATGTTTTGTGTTGAGTTTAATTTTGAGAGTTTTCTCTCGTGATTTTAACTCTGGATCAATAATTTCTAGCCATAACTTCCAAAAACGACGGTTAAATTGATAACGTAAACCCCAATCAAATAAATAGTAACAATGAATGAGTTGTTGTTGTTGTTGAACGATTCGTTGTTCATTTTCATAATTTTGTCGATATGCGTTGAGACAAGTACGAAGTTGATATCGGAAAGTACGATAAGTTGATGTATTAATTTGGAGAATATTATCTATCGTTGTATTCGAATTGAAGCTTTGAAAAAATTTTCGTTGTTGACGTTCAACGAAATCGAGCGAATAGCCATTAACAAGAAACGTACTGATGAGACGACGTCGTTCATGATGAAAATCGTCAACATTAGTACAGTAATGAGCAGCTTGAATTAGTGCAAAACGAAACCATTGTCGATAGAATAGACGCGGCGAATCATTTTGTTTTGTAGGATAAGGTAAAAGAAAGTATTGTTGTGTCCGAGGATGATAGACACGTATCTCAAGTTGACCATGGTTATTTTCAATGTCAATATTATGAAATTGCACATGTTTGCCAATGGATACTGTTAATTGAATATCAGGATATTGTTCATTGAGTTGCATAATTAATTGTCGTACGCGATCTTTCGGCGCATCCCAAGTAAAGAAGAATTGATGACGGTAACGACGAAAAAAGTGTTCACCATCGTATGCTAGCTTAGAGATTGGTTTTTGCCAGTAGAATAAATAAATATCTAAGAGTAGACGAGCTAACATACACGTCATCGTAACACCTTTGGTCAAACGATAAAGTTTATTTTCATACGTGAATAGATTATTTTCAAGATAGAATTGAGTTAATTGCATAATGAGATAATTACTTGTCGTTGCTACCGTAGTCAATCGTGGTTGTTGTTGTTTTTCTACTCGATGATAATAATGATAAGTTAAGAAGTGATTTAAAGCATGAAGAATATCAGCATGTGAGACACGAGTCGATAGATGATGAATTTCGAACACAACAAAACTAGTACACTTTGTAAATGCATATTCTTGCTGTGTATACGACTGTAATTGTTCAACAAATTCACCACCGTTCATACATGTCGTTGATTGAGTACATTTTTCGAACGCCGGTCGAAGCATTTGATCAAGATAGATTGCAATAGGTTGCAATGGAAAATTCATTGATAAGGAAAAGCGCGGTTGAACTGATTCGAGATTGTTATCATGTGAGTTTACACGTGGTAAAAAGTAAAGATACGGAAGTTGATAGTGTCTATCAAAATTGACTTTCAATTTATCTTCGTCGGCGAATGTTAATAGACGATCTTTTGTTAAATTTTCTAATTCAACATTCATTGACGAGAGAAGACTTTTCAACAGATATTGTTGTTGTTCAGGATAGATTTCGTTGTCGATTGTACCAAGAAAGTCAAACCATCCCGAACTTTCAACAAAATCATTCGAACGATGTTGAAAATCGTCATAGTCACCAAGATAGAACGTGTTCATATTGTCAGCAGTACGTCGTAGAATGAGATGTTGCCGTTGTAATTGCAATTGTATCGATCGTATGAGTTGTTGTTCATCGATGGCACGTTGTTTTAATGAAGATGGTACTTCGGCCGAAAATATGTCTTGAAATTCATTTCGAAGTAGTCGTTTAAAATGTTCTTGTGGATGAAAATCAATGGCATAGTGATGAAATATGTGTGATAATTGATCTTCAAGTGGTGCAAATTGTTCTTTCAATAGATCTTCTAAGAATGATGATGATGATGATGATGATGATGATGATGATTGAAATACATCGATGTGCATTTGACAAGGCGCCACATAGGATGGTCCACGATTGAGAAAAGCGATCTGTTCACTTGAGAAATCATATTGAAATAGATGTCCAAGTATCGATGGTGAACATGAATTAGTGTGAATGACTATCGATTGTCTATGTTCGCTCCGACAGTCGATCACATCGAACTCTTCACTGTCGGAGCTTTGACGAAAAAATTCACTTGTAATTTATAAAGTTGCGTAAAATAGTCATCCAATTGTTTGAATCGATGTTTTAGAATAATAATCATTGTTGGTGTTAATTTGTTTGGATTGTGCTGTCCTTGTCCTTGTCCTAGTCCTTGTTGTTGTTGTTGTTGTTGTTGTTGTTGTTGTGAATTTTCTTTCAATCCATATATATGTTGATCATAGATTTTTTGATCATGAGTTAATTTCATTTCAAGTATTTTCATATTGATTAATACCATTTCAGATTGGGCTCGTTGTAAAATTTGCTCACATTGACGAGTTAATTGTTGGCGAACATAACGATCGTCAATTGAGTCTAAGTTCATCGAATATGGTATGCTAAATGCCGATGAATATGAACTTGGAAAACGATGATAGAAGAGGCGTTGTTTTAGTACGGCTAAATGTAGGCGACTCGAGTCTTTGCTAGTTTTCATTTGTGTTAATCGACGAAATAATTCGAATTGTTCTGTAGTTGGATTTTGTTTTTCAAAATCGAGTCTTATGAGATGATCAATAAATTGATGTTTAGTACGAATAATTTTTGCATCAATGGTCACTTGTAATAATGTAATACCATAGTGTTGTACGAATTCGCTAAGCATGTCGTCGATGTCACATGTCCAAACGGATCGAAAATAACTACGTTTGTTATTCCATTGCGTTTCGTAGATGTTCGCTTGTTCTCGATAGTTTCTAACAATCTTCCTAGCATACTTGAGACACGACTGATGATCAATTTGACTCGGATCGTTCATAGATGTTTCTTTTTCTTCAATCATACGCATACGAACTTCCTTTGGCCATAATTGTAATGCAGATGTAGTTGATGTGACTGTTGCATGAGTGAGTCGACCAATACCTGACAATAGATAAGTTCCCCAAAGTCGAACCTGTAAATCTGTTTCTTTATAATGATGGAAAAGAAGAGCCATTAATTTCAATTCGTCTTTCATCAATGCATTCTTATTATGAACCTGTTCAACATTGTTATTTTTGTTGTTATGATTAATTTTGTCTAGGATAGAATTGAGCAATGTGTCAAACGCAGGATTCATATCCGAGAGATATTCTGGCACATGTAATGGTGGATGATAGGCCGACATGTGTTCTTCAGCATAGTTAACAGTATCTGTTGCTATCGCCATTTTTGTTTTTTTGGCCAATTTAGTTGACTCTGCCAATCGTTTCTCTGCTGCTGCTGCTACTATCGTCGGTACGCTCCTCATTTGTATGATATTCGATTTATCGTCTGTCGACAATGGATTATTTCTAATCAAAGAATTTGTATTGGTTTCCGCCGATTGTTTCCTTGCCTGCTGTTGAGATTCGTGTGGTTCGTGTTCTTCGTTGTTATCATCGTCTATGTCCTCTGGAATCAAAATCCAATAGGGAAAAATACCATTATCATCTTGATTGAAATCCAAATAAATATTATCAAAATCAATATTAGTATCTAGCTGATCATCGATATCATCATCGTATTGATGATAGATGTCCGTAAAACGATTTCTTTCTTGTTCCATCTGAAATGAAAAAGAAAACGGGCAAATGAAACAGAACAGAACAGAAAGAAGAAGAAGAAGAAGAAAGAGAAGAAGAAGAAGAACAACAACAACAACAACAACAACAACAACAAACAGAGTAGTAGAGCAAAGCAGAGCAGAGCAGAGCAGAGCAGATGGCTCTTTTTGGTTTTTCTTTGTTCAACATGGTCGACATGTATATCAACACGTCATGGAGATATTGCAAGTGGCAACAGATTACACAGTATAACGAGGATAAGTACGTCGATGAAGAAGTTTAATATCGAAAGATTGGGATGATCCAATTTGTTTCGACCATTGTTTCCATAAAGATTGAACATTTTCTTCGAATAAATTGAATCGTTCACCGTCCAATGGACAATACAAGTAGAATGGTTGACGACTTGTTGTCAATAGTTCCTCTTGTTCCTCCTCCTCCTTCTTCTTCTTCTTCTCCTCCTCCTCCTCCTCCTCCTTGTGTTTATTTGTGTTCGCGTTCTTCGTTTCTTGAATTGATTGGCGTAATTCTTTGTATGCCGAATTGGACAACAAAGTATTGCCCACGTTGCTGCTTTTCAACAAACATGGGTACGGCAGACGATCGGATAGATGTTTGAGTAGAGTAGATAAACAAAGATGACAACTAGCAAATACGAATTCCAGTTCAATGTATTCACGTTGAAAGTCTTCGACATTTGAACAACATTGAATGACACGATCAAGCAAGTTTTCTACTAAGTATAGTTTTCTTTCGATCGAATCGTGCACTTTGGGTATGAAAGAAAATGGATAATCGAGTGCTGTACGATTGACTTTGGTAATGAGCTGACCGTTGAAATTCATAAGTTGAGCTTCAAAATAATCGACCTGACGATCGATGAGAAAGTGTATTGTCATCGGCGGCGTTTGTTCGGCTGCCATGGATTGAAATAAATGGAAGAGTTTCAATGGAGAATGATTCCAAGTGAGAAATGCTTGATCAAAATTGCATCCAAAAATTTCATTGTTTTCGTTCGCTTGTGCCATTAGATTTCGTCGATGATAAAACATATTGATGCCAATGAAGAGACGATTTAATAATGAATCATAACTATTGGTGCCCTTGATTTGTCGATAGATCTTACGTTGATAGATAAAATATTGATGATCAAGATAGAATCGCACCAATTCAAGGATCGTATCGATCGATAGTAATGCGACATGTTTGTCTGGCACGTGTTCTTCGAGAAACTTTGTCAAACATTGAATTGTGTGATCGTGCGAAAAGAGGATATCGACATTATCAATACGAAATGTAACAAAATAAGTACTGGTTTTAAGTAAGCCGTGTCGAACATACGATTCTAATGCATGAATAGCATCAATGCCAGTTGTCATTGTTATCGGTTGTATCGCTCGATCATAGATAGGTTGAAGAAGATGAGCAATATAGGAGGATAATGCAAACATGGGTCCTGAATAATGTGTTATTTGAGGACGAAAGGGTACATCAATCTGTTAAAAAAACAGTAGTCATAGAAAAAAAACCGAAAACGCAAAGTTTGTAATAAAACAATATCAGACATACTTGTTCGACATCAGGTTGAAAAGTAAGAAAATCTAAATGTATTTTTGATAAATCCATTTGCATTTGTTCATAATGTTCATATTGAATAGCATTCGTTTGTAATAAATTGTCCATTTTTTCTTTTAATTCTCGATGGATTCGATGAAGAAGAGTGCGTACTGTAGACGTTTTCTTTCCATGTACTACTTTGTCATCAAGATCATCAATCAATCGATAAGTATATGCATCTTGTAGATGTTGAGAAACTTTATCAAACACTTCCTTTGTGCGACACAAATAGAAACGATGATGAAAAAGAGAATGTGACAAATGGCTCTCATTATTACTAAGATAGTTCTCATTTCGAGAGTCAATTTTTAAAAGATGCCAATGACGCATTTCTAACTGAGATCGAAGCCAAGATATATAACAACGGTTAACAACGAATGTAGGATGTTCTGCTCTTCTCGATGGATCAGGTTCGAAATATTTAATTTTGTTAATATGAATTTGCTTCATTTGTGGACTGCTATCGTTATGTTGAGGACGAACATATCTCTTCTTATCCTTATCGTTATCGTTATCTTTATCACTATTCGGCTCATCCATCTTATTTTTCTCCTCTTCCTCTTCATCATCATCATCATCATCATCAAGAATAATATCTCCATTATTATTATCGTACGAATAATCGTCCATGGATCGAACAATTAATTCGACAGCTTTATAATCGTTGATCATAGTAAAGAGATTAATAGTAGCATTTTCATAAAGGATCTAAAGCGAAAACAAGACGAGTAGTTCATCTGTTTTTGATGCATAGTTCTCGTTCTTCTGCTTAATATTAAAAAGAACGATAACAGTCATGTTTTTTTTTGTTTGGAGGCGGGGCGGGGCGGGGCGGGGCGGGGGAGATGTGAGATGAAAGAAAGAAAGAAAGAAACAGACTTCATCATCAATCTTACCTGTGCACTGATTGGCTCACATCTTCTTGTTTGAGGATTAATTTGACATGTGTCAAATATATCTTCGTTATTCTGTTGTTCAGCAGCTTTCTCTTTTTCGCTCTCTTTAGCATTAATTAATTTAATTTGACTCAGTTGTTCAATATAATCTTCACATAATCGATCGACTTCCGATTGTTCATATCGCTCAAGATCTTCGATTTGTTTCTGTAGATCTGATTCGGTTTCATCATAGTCTTGACATTTGACCTCGAATTCATTATCGGAAAAGCCTTGTCCGAAAGCGAGACTTTCTAATTGATGCCAATATTGTTCGTCAGATTCATGCTCTCGTGATAATCGGGCTTCTTCTTCTTCTGCTGCTGCTGCATTATTCGTTCGAGGTCGTACTTGTTCAGATGCGTTATCTTGTGAATTTTGTTCGGTTTGCCGCTTGAAACTCATTGTTAATCGATTTGCATCATCGAAAATAAACAATATCTGAAATAAATAAACGAAATAATGAACAGAATTTACAAATTTCTAATGTAGAAAATGAAATCAAACAACAACAATAACAACAGTAACTTGTAACAACAATATATCGTCATAAGAAGCAGAAGAAGGCAGTATGAGAAAAGGAAAACGAGTACAATTGTAACTGACTATGAGATAATCTGACACATATGAGCAATGCTACTCCTCCTCCTCCTGTGATAGTGTACATAGTGTGCATTGATTGTTAGCATATTAATATTATTTTTATAATCGTTTCAATTGGCGACGTCTACAACGACGATATCGTCGTTGGCCACTATGTTTCATTTTTTTTTCTTCATCATATTGCATACGTTGTCGAATGGAATTATACGTGATCATGTTCATAAATGTATCATCTTTTGGTACCACATAATCATAATGCATGAGTATATTGGCGAATGTTCGTACAACAGTTGATAAAGATACGTGATTCTTTTGAAATGCACATTCAATAAACATACGTTCAGCTTCAAAGTCAACAACATCGGCGCAGTAGAGAAAAGCACGTCTCAAACTCGCTTCTAATAATTTATCTGTAACTGTGAACAGACATTCGTGAATGTAGGGTAAAGTTTCCGGTTCGATCGCTAAATTGTGATACACTTTGGTACGTAGATTTTGTTCTTTATCATGGCTAATTTCAGCGTCTAAGTATTGTACCATATTGCCAAGTGTGACATGAAGTTGTTGTGGACTCATACGTTGATGAGTGTCTTTCATAATTGTTTCAGTGATTAATTGGTATAAATCATCAGTTGAATCATTCCACGTAAAGATGATTTGTTCATGATTTCGACCAAAGATTTCCTTTTTTTCAAAGAGTTTCTCAGCAAATGCCTTGAGTAAAATATCCAAATAAATATCAATTAAATTGACAATAAATTTTGATCTTTTCGAGCCACCTAATGTTACTTCATAGAGATCATTTTCATAGACACAATATTGATTATGAAGAACTAATTGAACAAGTTGAATAATAGTCGCAATAGAAATACCACGAATATGTTGTATTTGATGTTGCAAAAGAAACTGCTCGAATGCATTCAATAGAGTAGAATGCGATAGTGTTGTAAACAGATCAACGACAGACATTTTAACGAAAGATGTTGTTGATTTTAATAAGCCTTGTTGGTGATATTGTTCAAAAGCTCGAATGGTTTTATAGCCAGTAGAGAAATTTGACGATGAACGAAAAATAGCATGATCATATAAATCTGTAAGAAGATCATTAATAAAGTGGGCAAGATGTTTAATAGGTTCATTGTTTGAATAGATAATATTTGGTTCAATTATAATGGCATTGTCCTGGAAATTAACGAATAGAAAAGAAGACGACGAAGAAGAAAAAGTTATCTTACATGTGACATGGCCAGAACAAAATCTAATTGGTTTACACAACTTGTCGTGTCTTCGTTAAAATTCATCAGTCGATCGTACTGTTCCCTTGTTATTTCTTTATTTTGATATAATTGTGTTAGGCTCACTCGAATTTGATCGTTTTTTGCATGTAGAATATGATGAACATTCTGCACAGTACAACTTTCAATAGCATATGTCAACGATTGAAAAGATGACACTGTCATGGGACCAATATGTGTAAATCCATCAGTTAGTCGAAGATAATTTTCGATCTTGTTTTTCCATTCTGTTTGTGAACATTGATAAAGAGCATAAGTATTTTTGATATGATGTAATGTCGTGGATGTCTGATTGATCGATGGAGATTTGTTCGGAAGAGCAAATAGTTGCATTTGTTGTCGTTCGTCAGAAGTTCGTCAGAAGTTCGTCAGAAGATGGAATGAATTACACGAGATCCGTATTGATTTGTCAGCGAAGTTCAAATAGTGATGAGATCAGCACGAGAATTTTATATCTAAAATGACTAAATAAGATATATATATATATATAGGTAGAGAGAGAGAGAGAGAGAGAAATAGGAGAGAAAATGCAAAAGAAAAAGAAAAAAAAGAAACAGCAAGAGGAAGAGGAGAACATAGAGAACGAAAAAGAAAATAGGATGGAAAGAGAGAGAGAGAGGTTGTTGACCAATGAATGAATAAATAGATAGAAATGGTAGATTTAGAGAGAACGAATAAAATCAAGACAGCAAAATAATAACAAGAAGAAAAAAAAAACAAGAACAACAACAAAAAAAATTAAACACAAAGCTAATCAAAAAGCAATAGAAAAATTGCATGCAAATGTTTTGGTTTGAGTTCAAGAATCTGAATAATTCATTCATGAATGAAACAGATTTCTAAAGAAATTTTGAAGAATATCTGCAGTAGTTGTCAGTATTTCCCAACTTTTATTCCACCAACTTTCTTTTTCTCGACGATGATCATTTGTTACAAAGTAGTAATTGTAATTGATGTGTACTTTTTTGTCGTCTATTGTTGATATATGATTCTTATTGCTGCTGTTGTTGTTTGTAGCATTTGAATTGATCGCAAGAATAGAATCATTTTGATAGGCACTGACCAGAGTCCGAACATCATTGGTAAGCCGTATTGTACTATTGGTAGTGTTTGATCGAGCAAATATTGCTTGTGCAAGATACGAGTTCGCCTTCATCAGTTCAATACTAGGAGTAAGAAGCAATGAGACATGCATAGGAAATAAATTCCATAGAAGCAATGCATTAAAAACATAGAACATGCGAACGGATGACATATTTGAATACCAATGGATTTTCTGATGTATGAAGATTGCACGTGTCGGTATGTAGCGTCTTGGTGCGCAGAAGAATGTATATATATATATATACGTATCTAAAAGAAGAAAAAGACAAAGAGAAAATGAACAGTCGACTGTGTAACAAAGAAAAATGGAAGTGTAACAGAGAATCGTAAGAAAGAACATGAAATCAATTTGTTCAGTTTGTATACGTATGTTCCAAAGCTGACGTTGATGTTCATGTTCATCAACGTAATTGTATTGGTCGTTGTCGTGCTAAACGACTATTTAATGAATACACATATTTTGCATATAAAACAAGTTTCATCTTCGCCGCATGTGATAGATAGTTATTTTGATGACTAAAATAAAGAGACCAAAGACGATAGAATTGTCGTTGAAAATTGACTTCTGAACTATAGCCGTAGCCATATAAATAATGTATATAGATTGTACAATCACGTGTGTCACATGATTGTTGATAAATTTTCAGATTGTCTAGTTGTTTTCGAGCGAAGTCAAATGTTTGTCGACGAAATTGATGATAAACATTCTGATTCATATTGAAACGATGATGTTCGAGATGGAAAAAGCGATAGAAACGTTTCAATTGTGTTTCAATAAATTCAACTGAATAACCGTATAGTAAGCAAGTCATTTCCAAATATAAACGTTCTTGAATGAAATCATGAACATTTGTACAGAAGCGTACTGCTCGTAATAATGCCGATAGCAACCATTGCCGATGACTTAATTGAGCATGATCGATGACATATGGAAGACGTGTATATTTTGATATGGCTGTTGGATAAAGTATGTTCGTTGTCAAATAGCCGTGACGATGTTCAAGTTGTAGATTGAAAAAGTGAGCTTGTCGACCAATCGAGTAATGTATTTCAAAATCTAAATTATTGTTCGTGATGGCTTGTAACCATGATTGCAGTTCACTGGGTGGTCTATGCCAAGTGAAAAAAATTTTATTTTGATATCGACCATAGAATTGATTGTTTAATCTTGAATCATGGCAAATGTTTTCTTGTTCCCATTCATACAGATAGATTTCTGTGAAGAGTTCATTGAGTAAGAAATGATTGGGCATACCTTGCGAAAATTGATAGATGCTTTTCTCATATGAGAAGAAATTTGCTGATAAGAATAGTTTCAACAATAATTTCACAGCATGTATTGATATATATTGGATTTTAGTTTTTTCGTTCTTCTTCAACGAGTAATATCCCAAGTTACTTCCCGTTGTATTCAGTTTGTTTTGTTGATCGATAAAAAAGTTTTCTAATAGAGTTAAGATTTTTTCATTTGACAGTACGATTGGATAACGATGAAAAGAAAGTGTAGCGAAGAATGTCGTTCGAGAGAGACGTTTTTCTTCATAGGTAAAAGATCGAAATTTATTGATGAAATCCGCCTCATTAATAATTGATGTTCGTTGTGTATAACGACTTACTAATGGTCGAAGTAATCGATGAAGAAAACGAGCCAGTTTTGAGGTTGCACTTGAGTGAGTAGAAAAAACGGGTTTCACTCTAAGGCTAGATTGTAATGGTGTTGCCGTTGATGATGATGATGATGATGACGATGAGAGAGTAGTATCAGGTAAAAAATAGAGATAAGGCAATTTAACATGCTGAATATTAATTCGAAGTTCTTCACAGAGATTCTCATTAATACGTTTATCTTCGAATAATTTTTCTAAGATCATATTTATTCGATGGTAATTTCTTTTCATAGACTCAGTAGGTTGTTGTAATCGTGATTCGCTATCATCAGATATTGTATATAATTTACTGCAATATTTTGCTATGTGTTCTTGAAAATACTCATTCGATTTCCTATGAAATTGTTCTCGATTACCAAGATAGAATCGATTGTATTGATCAGCAGTACGTCGTAAAATAAGATTTTTGTCCTTTAAAGTTGATTGAATAGATTGAATGAGTTGGTTTTCATAAATGGCACGTTTCAGCATCGATTCTGGGATAGGTTGAGACAATAGCGCTTGATATTCTTGTTTTACTTTCAATTTGAATGTTTCCTGAATATGAAGTGGTACTTGGTATTCATAACAGATCTTAGTTATCTTATGCAATAAAGGTTTGCTTTGTATTTTAATTTCATTTGCAATCATATTTTCAATCGTCGTCACTGACGACGACGATGATGATGATGATGATGAAGAAGACAATTGACATGGCGCTACATACGTTGGTCCACGATTTAATAAACGTAATTGTTCATTTGTAAGAGTATGACTTGTGATTATGTCTCGGTCGATGATCGTTGTTCGAATGAAACCGATAGCTCTCCTGTCGGATGTTTGCGCGTCATTCATTTGACTCCATGATAAATTTGCTTGTCGATAGGAATCGCGTTGATATTCATGTTTTCGCCGTAATTTTTCATTCATGTGTTCGATGCGCTTATTTAATAAATTAAGTAACGTTCTTGGCAAGTCTTTATCCGACGAAGTCTGTCGATAATAGTACATTTGAGAAATAACGGCTGCTAACATTGATTGATAATAAGCGATTCGACGTTCAGTTAACGCAAGATAAATACTCATAAGATCTGTTTTAATTTGTTCAATCAATGAATAATATTGACGAATGAAATGTTGTCGATGATTGAGATTCTTAATCGAATTAATTTGATAGGGCAACAAGAACTTCATGTCAAACTTATTCAATATTGACAACGGTTGATTGCAGAGAATTCGTTCTTTGAAATCCATGTATTCATATTCTGCTGATTTCAATTTCAAATGAAGATCGTATAGTCTTCCAGCTGTTTCTATCTAACAAAACATAGAGATGACATGAATTCGATTGTGAATTGATGGAAAGAGTAAAACAGAGACAACTCTTTGATTTGGTGTAAACAAATTCGTTGTATTCGAAGCTTGAACTCAATCTAGTATTCCTCAGTTGTTCGTGCTTGGTCGACTAGCCGGGCTTTTCGAGGCATCCTCAATGTGTGCTTTGCCCACCCCCCTACTGACCGGACTTTTCGAGTGAGAATATCAGATTCTCAGACGAACGAACGAAGTATACGACCTCTCAACAAGAGTAAATACTGATGCTTCCTGCTATAGTTCTTGTTTTTTGTTTTTCGATAAACATTGAACTTACTTGATAATCATTAGGTTTCTCGTTTTGAAATTGTGTTTGAAGTATGTAATCATCATAATCATAATTAAGCATAGCAATAAGAAAATGACATTTTCGACGATGATAGGAGATACCGTATTTTTCGACAAACAAATGCATAGTCTCTTCAATCGCTGCTGTGAAATCCATGGCATGTTTTTGTGTTTTATTATTGAGTTCAACTCGATAATATTCCATTTTATTTTTATATTCGTTTAATTGTGTAGCCACTATTGTCTCATACATGGATTGTTGTTCCTTGCTTATCATTCGTTTGTGTGTTGTTGTTGTTGTTGTTGTTGCGGATAACAGCGTGTCATCATAGTTTCCTTCTATCCCAACTGTTGACTGAATATTGTCGCTCCAGAAAAAAATGTGATCATCGTGATGTAGTTGACCAGTGCCAGCTTTGAAATAGCTTGTCCATAATTGATGGAGTAAAGTATAGAAATCGAAATAATGTGTGAGAAAAGCAATGTCACGTAGATCTGCCATAGTTATTCGATTGACATGTGCCAAATATGGATTCATATGTTGATCAAATAATTCTGTTTTTGATGATAGATAATCTGGCATGACATCGTTCGATGTGCGATGCATCCTATTTGTTTTTGACTGTGTCCCTGTTGAAAGTGTACGCGTTTGTTGTATTTTATTGAATAACAATGACGACGACAAGTCGATACGATAGTCAATTCGATTGTTGAAAAACCGCTCTAAAGTTCTACTTACAGTGGAAATCGTATCACTTGTTTTTATCTTTTCAATGAACTCAGGTTGTGAATTACTTTTAGTAGATGCATAAGTATTGTGCAATGATGATCGCCGTTCTTGTTGGTTATACTGTTGTTGTTGATGTTGCTGTTGTTGTTGTTGTTGTTGTTCTTCTTCTTCTTCTTCTTCTTCGTCTTCTTCCTCTTCTTGCTCTATGTTGTTATGCATGCAAGTGAAATCGAAATTGAATAAGAAATCATTTTCTAATCGATTCAAAGGTGACACATATTGAATATTGTCGTCAGTGGTATCATCGTTAGTTATCAGATCAAAAATATCCGTAAATAGTACAGGATCTTGATTGGTCTAGATAAATGAAAACAAAAAGGAAAAATAAAAAAAGTTGAAGAAAATGAAATGTAGAATCACTTACAGTGTACATTTTTGTTGTAACATTCTTTTTGTCGAAGTTCGCCGAATAGTCGTCGATAGTAGAAATCATGTAGAATGAAAAACAAAGACGATATCTAGAAGAAGAAGAAGAAGAAGAAGAAGAAGAAGAAGAAGAAAGTCAGAAAATACCAATAGATAATTATCAGAGAAAATGAGACTATCAATGATATATAAGAACACTGACAATATAAGAGAGTGAATAGATAGGGATGTGCGAGAGAGAGAGAGAAAACAGAAATAAGAGTTCTACTACGGCAATGTTGAAGGAGAAGAAAAGGAAATAACAAAAAAGAACTTGAAGTAGACAAGTATAGTTCATGCGCTCATAGTTGTTTATGGATATGAATGTGATGCCGAATAAAGCATATCAACGTCATTAGTAGCCATGCTGCTACTGTTGTTGTTGTTGTTTGTATGAAGGAATGGATGAATATTATAAATCTAAGGACAAAACAAAAGAAAAATTGAAATCGAATAAGACAAAGGATTAAATCAGCACAGAAGGCATCGACAACTACTGCTGCTCGAAATCGGATCAATAACATCAGGCATGTATTACAGAATTTTTCCTCACGACAATGTTCTATACAATAACAGAGTTAGAAGACAACAATATAGAGATATGTTTGATCCACATGAAACATATGGTTCGGGATTTTCTTATCAAATGCTTGACTCTCAGATTTCTTATAGCTAAAAAAGCGATGAACTACGGTCAACAATCTAAATATGTGTACATGTGACTTTTCCTTGGTTTTCTTTTGGGAAAGAGAAGAAGAGGAAAAAAAGGCAAAAAATATAAAGAATCTCCACCTGGTCACACTTTGGCCCATTATTTTCCCAATCTTTCATCTTCATCAATCGATGTTCGTTATCAATGTTTGTCTGTTTGCTATGACGAACAGAATGAGATGATATTGATCGAGTTCGTTTATAACATAGAATGACTATGATAAAAACGAGCAGTAACATAATAATGAAACAAATAGCCAAGATTGCATTGATGATATTTATGTAATTATTTTCCATATTAATCGTGATCATGTCAGGTTGATTCGTTTGATTACCATTAATGTGAGCAATCGTGCGTTTTACTCGAGTGAAGTATGTCCTATCATTTAATGACGATCTAGTGCTTGTCATTGTTATTGTATCGTTGAACGTATTCAATGCTGTTGCATCAACGAAATTTGACAGGTTATAAAATGAGGAGAGAAGTGTTGATTTCATGGTCATGTCGTGCACAAGATAATCTAGTGTGGAATCAAACAAACAAATGTCGAAAAATCTGAAATGAAACATAAATGAAAAAGATAAACAAACAATTTGTCTACGAATAAAGAGCAGTTTACATAGTGTCGGAAAACAAAACGAAAAAAAAAGCAAAACTACGAAACATAGTCACATGAAACGAAAGAGTCACAGATGATTTTCTAACAATCAAAGTAAACTAACAATATGATAACGCAAAAATCAGGTGACACATTAAATGGGGATATATATGTACGCTAAGGTGTGTGTGTGTGTGTGTGTATAAATAGAAGAAAAATTGTGTTATTACAATTTTGGTATAATACTTGTCTAAATTTATTCCAATTTAAATTACCGCTGCCATCTTCGTCATGTTTACGAATGATTAATTCTATTACTATCAAATATTGATTCCAGTAGCGCTTTTGGAATCTTTCGATTGCACGACGCATAGATCTTTGCTTTTCCAAGAACAAACAGAATAATATCGCTTCAATACTTGAACTGAGAATACGATGAATATAATGAATGCTGTTAAAAAGATGCAATAGAGTAAGATTTGAACGATATAACCAAGGTAAATATCTTGAAAATCGAAGAAAAACGAACACAATAGAATCAACAACTTTAGAAAAACAAACAAACGTAAGCTGGACTAATCTAGTCTTGTTTGTTTGATGAGAAAAGCGAACTGAACTCTAGTTATAAGCAAGAGTATTTACCTGACCCCGATGGTACAAAATCATTGTCTGCCATACTTCTGTAACTAAATATGTGATATGGATCGTTATTCAATTGATTTGATACCGTGGACAAATTACGACTAACAACAGAGTTGTTGCATGTTCTTGTTTCGTCTATGCATACAACGGTTGGTGCCGGTGTGTGATCTTCTGATCGTGTTGTTGTTGTTGTTGTTGTTGTTGATGATGATGATGAAGATAATGGAAAGAGTAATAGTGCTATACCTTCGAAAATATTACCCATGGGATACGCTCTTTTCTAGATCTAGAATATGAAGAAGAAGAAGAAGAAGAAGAAGAAGAAGAAAAACAACAAGAGGAAAAGAAAATGTGCCAGTCAAAATGATTCGTAGTGATATGTTGCACAAAAGAAAACAAAACCTTTCGTTCTATTAAACAAAAAGTATCATATAGATATAGTGTTCTCATGTGGTCGTTGAATCGGATATCTTCTTAATACTAAATTGATCTAATTCATGCTTGGACATGAGATCGAATTTGATGCTCATATTTAAAAATGATTGATCGATAAGATGGAGCATTGTTGAATTAAATTGTTCGTCACAAGGAAGAGACTTATGAATGTTCCAAAACTTCACCATTTCGTCATGAAATTCGTTTTCTGTTTGACATTGATAAGTGTATGTTATATCAGTAAAAAGTTTGATCATGTTTGTTTTAAAGATTTTCAGAAATTTTTCTTGTTGTCCTTCCAAATAGAGACGCGTGGTATGATCGTCAATGTTTTCATACATTTCCAATGGAATTATTTCTTGTAGATTGAAATTAAAAATCGATTGAAATGATTGATGTCGAAATCGTTCTTTTAAAATGACATGTTCATACTTAGCCTTTTCTAGTTCATATTTACAATTTAAAATATGTCGAAACCAATCCATCTGTCTCTGATTGGGTGTTTGCGCTAGAAATTGTAATTCCAAACGATTCTCATCGTATTCACAATTGAGCAAAGAAATTGTATATTGATGTTGTTTTCGTAATGATACTAGATTTTCTTCAAGAAACGACCGAATACATTGTTCAGCAACTGTTCGACCAATGCCATCGATGAACTGTATGTTTTCTTCATATTTATCCGAATAAGATTGCTGTTTTTGTGCTAGTTTATGCAGACGATTACTAACATACTGAAAGCATTGTTCGTCAATACTTTGTCCATCGTTCATAGTAATATCATTCATAGACACACTTTGGACAATTTCTTGCAATTCTTTAGGCCATATTTCTGGATTTGAACATGACAAGTTCGATTGTTCATTTTTCCATATGCCTGTACCCATTTGAAAATATGTAAACCAAAGTGAATGTTCGAGTTCAAGGAGAAGAGCACGATATTGAATAAGAATTATTTGTTGTAATTTTTCCATATGAAGAATATCCGTTATAGATAGTTGTGAACATAGGCGTTGAAACGATAGGTTCGTTATTAATAGATAAGTAGGAATTTTTATTCTGTCGTCAGAGTTGTTGTCTTCTTCGAGAAAAGTGTATCTCGTTTCGGAAATAGTTCTATTGGAACGCTTTTGTTTCTTCACTTCTAATGGTAATTGTTCTTTGGATTCTGTCGATAATTGGCTAAGTTTTTGTGATAAGATTTCTTCTTCTTCTTCTTCCACCTCCACCTTGGGTTGATATTCTTGTCCATGTATTTCTTTCATTTCATTTCGCTTGTTTAAATCTACTCGTTCATGATAAATAGTTTGCTGCTCGTTGTTGTTATCCATAAGGCGAGTAGATTGAATAATAATAATAATAATAAGTCTTATGTTTGATGTCGTGAGTGTTAAGAATTTGTCTTTTGATATATCTAAAACAGATGAATATCATAGTAGCTAGAAATATGACTACGGTAATCTAGAGAAGAACGACGAAGAATAAGAATGCATGTCTACACAATAATAATGTGATTTCAAAAAAATTATCATTCGAATCATAAAAAGAAGAGAGACAGAGGGAGAGAGAGACAGAGAAAACAAACAATCGTCATTCTCAACTAGTTGTCAATGTCACATGGATGTGAAAGAATGTGTTGATTTCATTCGTTTCGGTAATATGTTTGTGGTCATTGTTGTTGTTTTTGTTGTGGTTGTCATTGATGGCGGAGTATTTTTTCTTTGATGAACATCACTTTCATCGTTAGGACGTTTAACAGTTTTCTTGGAAGACATATCTAATGTTAAATTATGAATCAAGACATATGAGCTGTTTTGAGAAAGCATTGTCGTGTCGTGATGAGTAAGAATCTTTTGGAAATGTTCATCATACGATCGTATGCGTTGACGCAATTCATTGTATTCAGATTGACAGTAACGATAACGCTGTGTTTGTAGCTGAAATTCTTGATCAAATAAATGTATATACCGTTGTATCTCTATCCATGGTACTTGATTGAAGAAAAATGACAGTTGCATAAACTTTAATTCGTGTTCAAAATCATTGACATCCTGACATGATCGTATAGCACGAAGGATTGATGCACGAATGATTGAACGATATTCAAATGATGAATAGCCAGAAAAATAAGGTAAACAGTATGGTTCATATGGATTTTTATGGAAAACTTTTGTTCGTAGATGGCCATTATGATGATTTATTTCCATGTCGGTATAGGTCACATTGACTCCAATCGTACTACGAAATGTCGACTCTGGAAATTCTTTTTGATGGAAACTTGTTTGAATTAAATGAATTAGATCTTGTTTTGATTTTTTCCATGTAAAAAACATTTCATGAAAACTTCTACAAAATTAAAGAGAAAAAAAAACCATAACAAACAACAAGGATAATATATATATAGATGATCGAAAAGAAAAAGAGCATATGGCTGACTAGTGAACACACAGAAAGTATTATCCTTACCTGGCAAAAATTTCTTTTTGATTTTGTAATACACGAACAAAATTCTTTTGCCAATAGTACATGTAAATATTCGTTAATAAAATTGTAAACGGCATATGTGAAGAAGCGCCCGCAGTTTGTCGAAAAATTTTGTCGTCATATTTAAAATATTGATGCGAAAGTAAAAATCGAGTTAATTTTAAAATGGCTTGAATAGGTATATTATTGATCGTCATCGATGTATTGTTTTCATTGGCGTAATTGCAAAGAAATTTCTCTAAAACTTGCATTGCATGCTCATATGTAAGTAATTCACTCAGATTGGGAATAACTATGCTTCCAAACAATGTTCTAGAAGATAGCAAACCTTGATCTTGATATGATTGCAGAGCATTGAGAACATCATATTTTTTCGACAAAAGGTTTTCCTTCGACATTTGCTTGTAATAAATCGGACCAATTAAATTATGTAGATATTGTGATAAATTGCTAGTCGGGTTCGATGTTGATAAGGAAGAAGCAATGAATGGACGCAATGGTATGTCATGCTATTGAAAAAGTCACGAATAAGTTCCATGGTAGAAACCCGAAAGAAACAAGAAGACACGCATGCCTTCATCAACAAAACCCGAGGGAGAACAAAAACGAACGACTTCAATACATGCATCTATTCGATTAGATATGAATGAAATCTCATATGCACATATGCCTATTACAAATGGGATCTTCTCGTATTTTACACGACCTATCTATTGATAATCATACTTTATAGATTTCTCTACCAATTTCTTTGTATGCACTATTTTCGTGTGTGTGTGTGTGTGTGTGTCATCAGTTTTTCAATAGAGAAGGATCGAACGATAACTGACGTGAGACATAAGAGACAAAGAGTGAGAGAGAGAGAGAGAGAGAGTAGAAGGAAACGTGTTTCGAATTTGTATACACGTACTTGACATAGATCCGGTCGAAGTTGTAAATTACCAAATTCCAGAAGATTATGATGATAGAATGATTTGATATTTAATACAAATGATGGAATGGCATCCAGATAATGGTTTTCATTGAGATCATCTAGATCTTTCTTTATGTTGTCGTATATAAATTTCATAGTAATTTCATTCATGTCAATATTATTGTCATTGTCATGCCGTTGTTGATGAGCTTTCACAATGGAATACATTTGTGCATTTTGCATATACACACGACATTTTTCTTCATAGCATTCTTGCCCACAAGCAACAAACGTGTTGGGCAGTGCATTGAATACAGGTACGAGATGATAGTTAAAATTAGGTAATCCATTTTTTATTATAGTACAACTTGTTTCGTGTATTGTATAAACTGGCAGTTGATTGCTCGATGAAGATGAAATTGTTGCCAAAATCGACAAAAAATCATCTTGTCTAGTGATATTAGAAGGCAGTTGATGTAAATTAGCATCAAATAAGTCTTTAACAGCAATAATAAGGAAGGGTGTGGGTGATGATAATGATAATGATGAATTGTTTCGCGCATTGGACATCATCTGAAAAGTAAGATATAAAAAGGGTGATTAACAAGGAAAACAGAAGCAGATGATGAATTAAAAATGAACAGTATGGCTAGATCATGTTGCGCGTTCAATCATAGCAGTGACATATAAGAACAATACAAAAGAAGAAGCATAAAGAGACATAACTCACAAAACAAAGCAGAATAAGAGACAGAGAGAAAATGAACTTTGCAGAAAGTTATTCGTATTAACGAGCATGAAGATGGTGACGAGTCAAATTTTCACACTAAATAAGGACGATCGAGGAAGTGTAATTTTTGCCTTGTTAATGATGAAAAGCATAGTAATTCGTCGATCTAAATGGCCTAAGAAACATTGTCGTTGACTTATTCTTCTTCTTCTTTTTTCAAAATAACGAACACGAAAGAAGACAAAAGAGTAAATTTTCAGTTGAAAAAGTTTCCGTATCGTTCATTCTGTGTATTACCTTCAGTATGTGGCACTAATAGTATGGTAAAAAGCAGTTTGATCACATAATAATAACTTTGACACGAGATTGGTGAATATTTCTATCATTTTTGAATCCAAGAAAAAGAAGATGTCTACCGTTTGGCGAACGAATATATTTGATGTTTGATTCGTTGTTGTTCACAAAATATGTAATTAAACGAACAAGGTAGCGGTATTATTCGTTGCATATGTTGCTAAATCATCTTCCATGACCGAGAAATCTTTGTGGCAAATGTGAACTTGTTTGATTTAGTTTGTGTTGAACTATATAAAATAACAAAGGACATGAAAATTTTTATATCATGTGCAAGATAAAACATCTTCATACTATGCTATGTATTGAAATTTGTTTATTTGTTTGTTTTCTACTCATTCATCAACATGTCCAAATCAATCGAATATAAAATCACCAAGAAACGTTACCTGATTGAAGGATGAGAATGTATACATTTAGAATCACACTAAGCGACTTGCCATTTGTAATAACACGTCGGTTGTTATTGTATTCGAGCCATGATATGATTGAATATACCATATTATGTTACAAGTAAGAATGCAAAGATACATATGTTACAGCATGATCGAATAGTGTGTAAATATAAGTTGAACGTCACAATAAGAATTGTAATGTACCGATTATGACATGAAAAAGAAGGGATGAAGAGAAGAAAACTAATCGAATATCCACTATCTATCTACTGGCTAATATGATACATTAACACATTCAAACAAACCAAAATAGTTATGAATCAAGGATATACACAATTCTCAGATTGTATTAAATTGAGAAAGTGTTGACATTTCAAACTAATGTATTGTGTGGGAGTAAAAGACTACGTCGATGTTGCGAATATTCCGTATTTTTATGAGATTGTCTTGAATATAACCCAGGCAAGAATGATTTCAATGGCGGCAAAGTCGACAATGGTGGTGCTGGCGGCGGCGGCGGAGGCGGCGGCAGCGGCGGCGGCAGTGACATTTGAGTCGAAGAGAAAACTGTTGAATGTGCTTTCGTCTTCAATAGATCATGTGATGACCATGGTTCTAGATATGCGCATTCATAGTATAATGGAACCTGTAGATACAGAAACATAAAACAGAACATTGTGTTAGAATTTATTTTCCTCAAAAGCTGAACTTTTGCCACTTTATTTTCTAGTTTACTATTAATTAATATGTTTGACTTACCGACTGAACTTCAATATCATGTGCTTTGTGTTGAACAATGTTATAATTCTTACAATGATTTATAATATTTGCTTTATTCTCAATATCTTTCATACGTTCATTGGATTCAAGTGTATTATTAACTTCTATAAATAAATAAATAAATAAATAAATAAATAAATAAATAAATAAATACAAGTAAATCTGGAATCGTTCTTTTCCTCAGTATAGTAGAATATACAGACTGATATAATTAGAAAACCTAGTGAGATCGAATACAACACGGATACGATATGGCATCGATTTGCAATTTTTTCTGTCTCGATATGTCTGATTGGTAACTATCTGTTCAAAATTATCCTTGCTTGATTAGAAGTTTATCATGCGATAATAATGAAAAGCAAAAAGGATACAGATAGCGATGATTATAGAGAGATGACTGTTGTAAAATTATTGAGTGGATGAACCCGAATATTGACTCTCTTAGAAGATTTTATTTGAAAACGTCATACTTGTAAAAGATTCAAGTAATGTAAACGAATCAATGTAAAATGATACAGGTAATATATGATTGCTATGAAACTTGTCAATAAGAAAATTAATTACTTACGCTCCCAGCGATGATGTGCAGAAGATGAATGTTGTTTACGACGAAACGATTTGCACATAAATAATGCTAAAGCTGATACTGCTGATAGGATAAAAACAGTAATGATAACAAGTAAGGCAATAAGTATAATATATGCAAATTGTTGAAGAACAAGTGAATTCATATTTGAGGCAGCTATGGATGAAATAAGAGAAACAAAGATGATACATTGTATCAGTCTGTTCTGAGCTAAAGTACATTCTACAAATACATACTATCTAGACTGGGAAACAAACTTCCTGTTTGTACTGGCATTGGTAATGTTGTAGTAGTTGTTGTGGAAGTTATGTCCATAGGAGGAATCGTTGTTGACGTTGTAGCTACAAATTGTCCTATCGGATCGTCATTCTCACTACAGGGTACTTCAATCGAACCCATCGAACATATGACTTCGACTTTTCCATTACGCGTTCGCATTCGAATGGGAGTCGTATTGAAACGATAGGGAGACATATTAGAACGATATTACTGTGTGAAAATCTAAAATAAATTATAAGAATAGAAAAGAAAAAGAAAAATAAAGAGCCAAACAACGACTATTATCCTTCTCTGTCGGTAGCAACAGTCATTATAGTCATAACTGACATCTAGCATAAAAAAGACGAATGTCAATGGTCAGTTGAATTCACACTCGTTTCAATTTCGATACAAATTTGCGAAGTCTTTAAACAGATTCCAGCGAACTTGCAGAGTAATATTTTGGCGATTGTTCACTTGTTTTCAACTGTTCATCAATATCATATACTTTGCCTTTTTCTTCGCCGAGCTTGATGATTCTATAAAGAAGTATCAATAAAGCACAGATGCATAAAGTTCCCAATAATCCAATGATGTATCGCTGTATCTTGAGTGAAACAAATATTGACTGATATAATGTATTTTTCGAAAAAAATTGAGCGTCCGGAAATGTATAGTACTCATTCTGTTTGCCGCTCATTGAGAATATTTTTTCCTTTGAAGTATTCGCATTACTATCAAACCATTGGTAAAACGAGTTGTATTCACGTTGATTGTTGTGATTCTCTGTAATCCATCTATTATGAATATAATTCTTGTCATACCTATTCTCAACCGGTGAGAAAATGCCACCAAAAATTGACTTCGGCATCAAACCACTGAATCACTGATTGAATATATGTATCTAGAAATAAACGCTAAAAATTCAACAAAACATTATACACGCGTCTCAGCGTATAAGGATGTCCACGGCATGTACACAAATAGATAAAAAAGAATCCAACGCATCAAGTCATTCCCAAACCCTTTATTCAAGAATGACAAGTATAATCAATAATAATTTCTTGTAAAACAAATGTTTCGTCTGAGCCAAGCATTATTCAACAGTTCGACCAGAAATCAACACGGCCGAACGAATTAACAATCTTCTGTGCCTATTGCTCGCCTTCCCCTGCTTCCAGCATTATCCATTGAATGAAATAAATTGAGCGCCGCCATGACTTCCGAACGCATCGATTTGCGACCCCGAAAACGACATTGAAAATAGAAAACGGCCACGATGATCATTACAATTGTCACACAGACCAGATAGATAATCCTAAATGATTCAATAAACATCCGAACATACTATTCATTTCAAAATAATAAACCTCTCCATCCCCGGACAGATACCAAACAAAATACTCATTCGAGTAAAACCTATCTCAACCACACACAAACGTTTTCCACCAAGAAATTACTGTGCCTACTAATTCGAAACCCACATTAGACACTGATTTCAAAGATTAATAAGTTCTAACTTCGCCCCCAGCACCACGAATCAAACGAACAATTCCACGACATCACAAAAGCGCAAAAACGAACAAAGAGAACCTACCGCCACAGTTGGCAGCCGTGAACTCCGATAAATAAGAAAAAAAGAAACAAGGAGAACCTACCGCCACGCTGGGCAGCCGTGAACGGCGATAAATAAGAAAAAAAGAAAAAAAAAGGACAAAAANAATAATTGACGTTGCCAAGAAAACATATAGATGTCAATCAATGTTGTCATCAACGGTGCGTCTATTGAACAGCCGAACGTCTGTCGATATAATTTGTTTTCATAAATACAATATTGATTGTCAAGTAGAAGACGAGTGAGCTGAAGAATAGTTGCCGTTGATATACCATTGATATGTGTCATCGATCCAAAATAATGAAAAAAGTGTTCCAATGATGCAATAATTAAATGAAATGGTAAACTAGAACGAAGATGACGAAGATGAATTGTAACAAAATAGGAACACGAAGGCATGGTAGTCATGTCTGCATATTCACGCCATTTGTCGATTGCATCAGAAGCGACGGCAATTTGTTTATTTCGAAAGAATTTCGTTACTAACGGTTGAAGAAGAGTATTGATTACATTTGAAATACCTTTCATTGGTTCTATATTTGAACATTGAATTATTGGTTCAAGAACCATTTGCTCCTAAATAGAAATAGATGATGATGATGATGATGATGATGATGAAAAGAAGATTTGAATGAAAGCGTGTACGAGAGCCATGAGATAGATAGTTACATTTTCCATTTTTATAATAAAATTTAATTGATTCACATTAAAATCGATTCGTTGGTTGTAAAACATAATGTTACCATATTGTTCATTTGTAATTAATCGACGATATAATAACTGATGTACAGTTCGAACTATTAAATTACTCATATTGTGAAGAATTTCCTTTGTATGTCGAGTATGCATATCACCAACCAATATGAAAACATCGTTGCTCGCTAAATAGCAATTGATCTGTTCATTCCATTGCTCTTCGGGGCATATATACTGAGCATGTGTATATTTAATCGTTCGTTTGATGACTTTTGTTGTATTCAAATGTGTTTGACTATTGAATGACGAAGCTTGTTCTCGCAGTGTTTTAGCAACGATAAATTGATCGGAAACATGCATCGTCGTCATCGTCTTCCTTGGTTTGTTTTGTTTCTGATATTGACTTTAACAATGCACCATTCGTATTTATCTACAACAGAGACATAGACAATTAATTCATTCTAGTCTTTATTTTTTTATCACTTTCTCTAAGGCAAAAAAAAACAGAGAGAGAAAGAGAACGTTTCTAATTGATCTTGTTCTATATTATGTTTTTGAGTATTTTAAGTAAACCATTGTAAACAATACAAAATTATTTTATAATGTACTATCTTCATCTTCGAAACCATCATCTCCATTATCTCCATCATTATCGTCGTCGTTGTCATCTTCTGTATCTGAATCATTGCAATCATTCATTATGTTAATAAGATGTTGAAGTCGCATTTGAGTAAGTCGCTTGACATTTTTTGCACGCGCTTCAACTAACTCAATCAATCTATTGAGCTTCATTGTCGCTTCACGAGTCGTTAAGAAATGAGTAATCAATTGGTATTTTTCTTCTTCAATGCGATTTGTATAGTATTCATCCCTTTCGTTTAAGACTTTCGCTTGTAAACCTAAAATCGTTTGCTCAATATCGTCGAGTATAGTCGCATGATTCGATGGTTCCCACGGCTGAATAAGGTTATTCACATTCCGTTGCGTCTAGATCAAGAGAAAAATGAATTCTTTTTTTTTTCTTCTTTCTTTTGAAAATCACTTCCATTATAGATAAGAATCTTACTTGAATACCGGACGNTACTTGAATGCCGGACGACGACGACGACGACGACGATGGGGATGTTGTCGGTGATGTTGCAGCAGCCGACGATGACAACGGTGCTGATAGTGAAAATGCTTCCGTTGTCGCCATGGAATGAGCTTCAACACGATTTGACTCAATATCGCATTCGATCGTGTTCTCATGTTGTTCCTTGCATGCACGATTGTTAACCATCGTAATATTCCTAGTGGACGTTGACTTTTCTATAATGTTCTCGGTCCGTAATGAATTATGCCATGCTTGAATAGTGTCGTCGTCGTCGTTGTTGTTGTTGTTGTTCCTATTAGAATTCATCATAATGGTCAATGTCAATCCTATTGGAAGAATGTTGTAGATGGTTTGTTGTGACAGATGTAAAACGTACTATTGAGTTCAGTTCTAGTAGTTGTGTTAACGAAAACAGGAGCAAGAGTTGAAAATAAAATAGACTGTAGTTGAGGGTCGTTGTTGCCTGCTTCTACAAAAAGATGAAACGAACTTCGTTTCACACATGGATATTGAGAAAGAGACACAGAACAAGAACCAAATAAAAAAAGTCAACATGTCACTATAGACTCATACTATGGCGGATGAGCGAGCGAGCGAGCGAGCGAGAAAGAGAGAAAGAGAGAGAGAGAGAGAGAGAGAGAGAGAATAATTGTCGATAGAACGTATATAATATAATTTCAGTTTGCACCCATAGGTAGAAGAAAATTAAATTTATTTGTGTTGAGTTCTATGGGACGAATGACGGTATTGAATGGTTACTCTAACGAATGAACAGTATCTACAGTAATCGAAATTGTATGAAGGACTTTGTTGACATTCAAAGGTTATATATACACGCGCGTATAATTTTGCAGCTGGATAGCAAAGAAGTCAACTGAAATGTGAGCCGTAGAGCAATATCTGATGGATGTATAGTTAAACTATGTATTGAATCTAAAACGAAGACAAAGATAAATAATAATAACAACAATAATGATAATGATAATGATAATGATAATGATAATGATAAATGAGGCTCTGTAGATGAGAGCGAGGGAAAAAAACGAGTACGATAAATAAGGATAGATAAGGATAGATGAATGTTCATCGGAAAAGACAGAAAAACAAAACAAAGTTCCAGCGGCATAGAATTGCGATTGAGTCTGTCGAACGAAACAAAAACAAAAACAGCACAAGCACCGCGATGAATCCGACGTTTATTGTGGTGGTAGAATTGGTGTTGCAGCTGAAGAATGATCATGTTCATTGGCTGGCGAATTCGGTGAACATAAATCAATAGTTTGAATTTTAGGTGAAACTAAATCAATAGTTTCCATTGTAGGCGAAACGATATCAATGACGATAGGACTTGCTGGCATTGTTCCTATCGAAACGGTCTGCGTTGAAGCGTCGGTCATCATGCCTGTCGATACCATTGTTACAGGTGTTCTTGGCATTGTACCTGTTGATGACATAGTTGGTTTCGTTGTTGTACATAAATTGACTATTTCGTGGTCGTGTTGTTGTTGTTGTTGTTGTTGTTGTTGTTGTTGTTGTTGTTGTTCGGTGGCGACGACGGCAATAACAGCAGCAGCAGCAGCAGCAGCAGTATCCTAAATTTAGTTATTTGGAGTTTAACAAGAAGATAGTTAAAGAGAAATGTCAATCAACTAGGTATACAAGCATGTGCATAGGTGAATATATGACTTACATCGATAAAAGCAATATTCAAGGGGCCAGGTGTTTCGCTTACAAGTGAAACATTTTCCGACGTACTATTATCTTGAACTACAAGTAAAATAAGAGGCATATAGTAGAGTGAGAACCTATGTATGATCAACTATTCCCTGTTTCGTGTCCATGTAATTACCCTGGGTTTGTTGGTGCGACGGCGGCGTATTCATTTGATACATTCCTTCATTTTGAAAGAATTCTTCTATTTCTCGTAATGTTGAATTGTTATTGGATGATTGTTGTTGAGACATGGTGACGATCAATATTGAATAATGATGATGAAGATAGAATGTATTCGGATGGACAAGAAATCACTATCTAAAACAGATCATACAAGATGCATGTAGTGTTTATTTTTCTTCTATTTAAATTCGAAGATAGAACGTCGGAAAAGTGAAATCTTGGTTGTCATGTCGTTCATGCGTTTTTGCACACGAACACGAAAACAACACAAGAGGCTTAAAACTAACATGAAAAACGAAAACGAAAACGAAAACGAAAATAGAGAATAAAGACCAAGCGAAGCTTGACTACTACACAGATCAGATTAAGACAAATGACATCACTGCTCTGTTTGTGTGTTTGTTGTTGTTGTTGTTGTTGTTGGCGGCTCATGAATGGCTTGAAAAATATTTTGACGTAACTGTACATAAAGACGAGAATTATAAACTGCTTCGTTAAGATCCAATCGTAGTTCGTCGACATGAAAATCGTGTAGAAACAAGGCGAGACCCTTGGAAAGTAATCATAATGGAAACCATTGTATTCGAATGATACCTGTATATCATGACATTCATTAATAAAATCATAGAATTCTGAACAACACAGAGCAGCGCGCATTAAACACGATCGTAATAGAGTAAGGACACGCGATGTTCGATGACCATAGACATAGGGTAGTGCATACGGATGCGTTGTGATGTTATGTGCTACTGTTGTTCTCAATCGACGACCAATATGACTCATATTGACATCAAGATAAGTAATGTTGTTCTTGTTGATCGTTATCGTCAGATGAAAATGATACCTATTGGATGCTGTATTTATCGTTTCGATAAGTTGATGAAGAGCTTCCTCCGATTTGTTCCATGTGAGAAAGATTTGATCGAGACGTCTAAAATAGAAATCAAAGACAAAGAAACATTAGAATAGCATTGAAATGGTGAATCGTATATGACTGATATGGATCATATGCACAAGGCACAAGGAACGAATAAGATCAAAAGAACAAGTAGGAGAAAACACGGATCGTATGCGAAAGGATGACAATGACAATGACAATGACAATCTTCTGATCTATCTCAAACCAATGCGGCTCAACTCACCTGCCATAGATTTCTTGTTGATCGCGTAGTGTAGCGATGAGTTCTTGTTCCCAATAATACATGTAAATNTATCGATTGTCTATGTTCGCTCCGAGAGTCGATCACATCGAACTCTTCGCTGTCGGAGCTTTGACGAAAAAATTCACTTGTAATTTATAAAGTTGCGCAAAATAGTCATCCAATTGTTTGAATCGATGTTTTAGAATAATAATCATTGTTGGTGTTAATTTGTTTGGATCGTGTTGTCCTTGTTCTTGTCCTAGTCCTTGCTGTTGTTGTTGTTGTTGTTGTTGTTGCGAATTTTCTTTCAATCCATATATATGTTGATCATAGATTTTTTGATCATGAGTCAATTTCATTTCAAGTATTCTCATATTGATTAATACCATTTCAGATTGGGCTCGTTGTAAAATTTGCTCACATTGACGAGTTAATTGTTGGCGAACATAACGATCGTCAATTGAGTCTAAGTTCATCGAAGATGGTATGCTAAATGCCGATGAATATGAACTTGGAAAACGATGATAGAAGAGGCGTTGTTTTAGTACGGCTAAATGTAAGCGACTCAAGTCTTTGCTAGTTTTCATTTGTGTTAATCGACGAAATAATTCGAATTGTTCTGTAGTTGGATTTTGTTTTTCAAAATCGAGTTTTATGAGATTATCAATAAATTGATGTTTAGTACGAATAATTTTTGCATCAATGGTCACTTGTAATAATGTAATACCATAGTGTTGTACGAATTCACTAAGCATGTCGTCGATGTCACATGTCCAAACGGATCGAAAATAACTACGTTTGTTATTCCATTGTGTTTCGTAGATGTTCGCTTGTTCTCGATAGTTTCTAACAATCTTCCTAGCATACTTGTGACACGACTGATGATCAATTTGACTCGGATCGTTCATAGATGTTTCTTTTTCTTCAATCATACGCATACGAACTTCGTTCGGCCACAATTGTAATGCAGATGTAGTTGATGTGACCGTTGCATGAGTGAGTCGACCAATACCTGACAATAGATAAGTTGCCCAAAGTCGAACCTGTAAATATGTTTCTTTATAATGATGGAAAAGAAGAGCCATTAATTTCAATTCGTCTTTCGTCAATGCATTCTTATTATGAATCTGTTCAACATTGTTATTTTTGTTGTTATGATTAATTTTGTCTAGGATAGAATTGAGTAATGTGTCAAACGCAGGATTCATATCCGAAAGATATTCTGGCACATGTAGCGGTGGATGATAGGCCGACATGTGTTCTTCAGCATAGTTAACAGTATCTGTTGGTATCGTCATTTTTGTTTTTTTGGCCAATTTAGTTGACTCTGACGATCGTTTCTCTGCCGCCGCTGCTGGTGCTGCTGCTGCTATCGTCGGTACGGTACTCATTTGTATGATATTCGATTTATCGTCTGTCGAGAATGGATTATTTCTAATTAAAGAATTTGTATTGGTTTCCGCCGATTGTTTCCTTGCCTGCTGTTGAGATTCGTGTAGCTCGTGTTCTTCGTTGTTATCATCGTCTATGTCCTCTGGAATCAAAATCCAATAGGGAAAAATACCATTATCATCTTGATTGAAATCCAAATAAAGATTATCAAAATCAATATTAGTATCTAGCTGATCGTCGATATCATCATCGTATTGATCATAGATGTCCGTAAAACGATTTCTTTCTTGTTCCATCTGAAATGAAAAAGAAAACGGGCAAATGAAACAAAACAGAACAGAAAGAAGAAGAAGAAGAAGAAGAAGAATAACAAGAACAACAAGAACAACAAGAACAACAAGAACAACAAGAACAACAAAAAACAGAGTAGTAGAGCAAAGCAGAGCAGAGCAGCTAGGCTCTTTTCGGTTTTTCTTTGTTCGACATGGTCGACATGTATATAAACACGTTATGGAGATATTGCAAGTGGCAACAGATTACACAGTATAATGAGGATAAGTACGTCGATGAAGAAGTTTAATATCGAAAGATTGAGATGATCCAATTTGTTTCGACCATTGTTTCCATAAAGATTGAACATTTTCTTCGAATAAATAGAATCGTTCACCGTCCAATGGACAATACAAGTAGAACGGTTGACGACTTGTTGTCAATAGTTCCTGTTGTTCTTCCTCCTCCTCCTCCTTCTTCTTCTTCTTCTTCTTCTTCTCCTCCTCCTGCTCCTTGTGTTTATTTGTGTTCTTCGTTTCTTGAATTGATTGGCGTAATTCTTTGTATGCCGAATTGGACAACAAAGTATTGTCCACGTTGCTACTTTTCAACAAACATGCGTACGGCAGACGATCGGATAGATGTTTGAGTAGAGTAGAGAAACAAAGATGACAACTAGCAAATACGAATTCTAGTTCAATGTATTCACGTTGAAAGTCTTCGACATTTGAACAACATTGAATGACACGATCAAGCAAGTTTTCTACTAAGTATAGTTTTCTTTCGATCGAATCGTGCACGTTGGGTATGAAAGAGAATGGATAATCGAGTGCTGTACGATTGACTTTTGTAATGAGTTGACCGTTGAAATTCATNAAACAGAAATAAGAGTTCTACTACGGCAATGTTGAAGGAGAAGAAAAGGAAATAACAAAAAAGAACTTGAAGTAGACAAGTATAGTTCATGCGCTCATAGTTGTTTATGGATATGAATGTGATGCCGAATAAAGCATATCCACATCATTAGTAGTCATGCTGCTACTGTTGTTGTTGTTGTTCGTATGAAGGAATGGATGAATATTATAAATCTAAAGACAAAACAAAAGAAAAATTGAAATCGAATAAAACAAAGGATTAAATCAGCAGAGAAGGCATCGACAACTACTGCTGCTCGAAATCGCATCAATAGCATCAGGTGTGTATTGCAGAATTTTTCCTCACGACAATGTTCTATACAATAACAGAGTTAGAAGACAACAATATAGAAATATGTTTGATCCACATGAAACATATGGTTCGGGATTCTCTTATCAAATGCATCACTCTCAGATTTCTTATAGCTAAAAAGCGATGAACTACGGTCAACAATCTAAATATGTGTACATGTGACTTTTCCTTGGTTTTCTTTTGGGAAAGAGAAGAAGAGGAAAAAAGGCAAAAATATAAAGAATCTCTACCTGGTCACACTTTGACCCATTATTTTCCCAATTTTTCATCTTCATCAATCGATGTTCGTTATCAGTGTTTCTCTGTTTGCTATGACGAACAGAATGAGATGATATTATTGATCGGGTTCGTTTATAGCATAGAATGACTATGATAAAAACGAGCAGTAACATAATAATGAAACAAATAGCCAAGATTGCATTGATGATATTTGTGTAATTATTTTCCATATTAATTGTGATCATGTTAGGTTGATTCGTTTGATTACCATTAATGTGAGCAATCGTGCGTTTTACTCGAGTGAAGTATGTCCTATCATTCAATGACGATCTAATGTTTGCCATTGTTATTGTATTGTTGAACGTATTCAATGCTGTTGCATCAACGAAATTTGATAGATTATAAAATGAGGAGAGAAGTGTTGATTTCATGGTCATGTCGTGCACGAGATAATCTAGTGTGGAATCAAACAAACAAATGACGAAAAATCTTAAATGAAACATAAATGAAAAAGATAAACAAACAATTTGTCTACGAATAAAGAGCAGTTTACATAGTATCGGAAAACAAAATGAAAAAAAAAAGCAAAACTACGGAACATAGTCACATGAAACGAAAGAGTCACAGATGATTTTCTAACAATCAAAGTAAACTAACAATGCGATAACGCAAAAATCAGGTGACACATTAAATGGGGATATATATGTACGCTAAGGTGTATGTGTATGTGTGTGTGTGTGTGTGTGTATAAATAGAAGAAAAATTGTGTTATTACAATTTTGGTATAATACTTGTCTGAATTTATTCCAATTTAAATTACCGCTGCCATCTTCGTCATGTTTACGAATGATTAATTCTATTGCTATCAAATATTGATTCCAGCAGCGCTTTTCGAATCTTCCGATTGCACGACGCATAGATCTTTGCTTTTCCAAGAACAAACAGAATAATATCGCTTCAATACTTGAACTGAGAATACGATGAATATAATGAATGCTGTTAAAAAGATGCAATAGAGTAAGATTTGAACGATATAACCAAGGTAAATATCTTGAAAACCGAAGAAAAACGAACACAATAGAATCAACAACTTTAGAAAAACAAACAAACGTAAGCTGAACTAATCTAGTCTTGTTTGTTTGATGAGACTAGCGAACTG